TAACCATTCCTGTAGTTCTTTTCATGCCTAAACTTGTTAAAACCATGCCACAAACAAGAAACTCAAATCCCTCAGCACACAAAACTCTTGGGACAGTATTACTTCACAAGCTAAATCCAGTATCAGGATGATGCTTGAGAGCATTTGTTCAAATACACACACTCTCCCTACACACTTATACGTCTTAATTTGCTAATACATTTAAGCTTTTCAAATGAGAGTTCTGACATCTATTTTCTCTTCTTCAAGCATTATCCATTTCCACGGTTAGGGTTTTACACACTGGTAACGGTTGACAGCCAGCTGAGTATGAGCCAGCAGTGTGGCCAAGGCCAACCCTAGCCTGTTGTAGAACAGTGTGGCCAGCAGGACTTGGGCAGTGATCATTCCCTTGTACTTGGCACTGGTGAGGTCCCACCTCGAGTGCTGTGCCCAGTTTTGGGTCCCTTACCACAAAAAAAAAGACATTGAGGAGCTGGAGCATGTCCAGAAAACAGCAAGATAGTTGGTGAGGGGTCTGGAGCAATAGGACAAGAGGAAACAGCCTCGAGTTGTGCCAGGGGAGGTTTAGATTGGATATTAGGAAGAATATCTTCACTGAAAGGTTATCAATCATTGGAACAGGCTGCCCAGGGATGTGGTGGAGTCACCATCCCTGGAGGTATTCAAAATCTGTGTAGATGTAGTGCTGAGGGACATAGTTTAGTGGTAACTTGGCAGTGCTAAGGTTAATAGTTGGACTTGATGATCTCTTCCAACCAAAACAATTCTATGATTCTAAAAATCCCCAAGGCAAGGCCTGATTACTTATAATTAAACTGAGGGTCTTGAAACATCCATGCTTACATTTGGGTAACAGAGGCTCAATATCCAGTTATTAGGCTCTCACAATCCTTGTATAGTCAGTGACTGAATCCACTGAGCATCACTCTAAGAGAGACATTTGTATATAAATTAGTCCTGTGATTTGCCCAGGAACACAGCCAGTGATACAACTCAAGGTCTTCCAATAACCAAGCCCAAACCACACACCACGATGCAGGTGCTGTTAAGAGCATCAGCTGCTCAAAACAAAAAGGATCATATCACGGGATTAACTGAAGCAAGCTGGAGCTCCTTCACCCCCACGATGGGTGCTATCCACAGCTTTATTCTGGCAGTTGGGGCCCACTTACATTTGGGAGGGCAGAGGCTGGCATTCCTCGGTGATATCGTTTAAGATGACATGTGCATCCTGCATGTCTTCTCTTTCACCTTTCCTCTCTGCCACATAACCCTTCAATCCAAGAATGCCCACTGACCCTAAAGCGGAAAAAAGCAGACACACTCATATAAATCAAACTCCTTTGTCTCCTCTGGCTAAAAACCAGTTAACCAGCAACCACTTTTCAGCTTTCAGAACCCTATCCTGGCACTACAGTGAAGTACGACCCCTGTCCTGCAACAACACATCTGTCACTTTCCACTGAACCGGATATATTTATTTTGTAATGTGGATTGTTACAATAAGTGCCCCCAAGGCCAGCTATAAAAGCTGCTTGTCCCCATTTTGGCAGGCAGCCGTAGCCAAGCAGGACTGCTGGGCACAGGACAGGGCTCTTACCAAAAAGGGGTTGGGGGGCAGGGGAAGTGGGCAGCACTGGACCTGCAGATTAAACAAAGCATTGTTTTAAAGAAAGCGCTAAGGACAAGAAATCGGGGTCTACTGGTTTCCAGAACACGTCCTTTCCTTTGTACCCCTCAACACATCTTACTCCCAAAGCTGCACATAACACACGGGCACCAGCCTTGAAGTCAAATGTCCTATATGTAACAGCAAGTCTCTCTCTTTCTTAGCAGCCATCCAGCAGACATTTTGTTGATGTAGCAAAAGAAACTGATGCGGCGGCTTTAGCCTTCCAGGGGTTTCACAACCAATCCCTCTCTTGGCAGCACAGGAACTTATCCTGCAAATGCTGAGGTGCTTGCTGCTCAGCTTCTAGCACTTCAGCAGGGCTGGTAAGAAGGTCTGGGAAAGGGAGGCAGAGAGTGCCAGGGAGCTCAAGGGACTTCCACAGATCGCTGCAGCAGCTTGCTCCCTACCAAACGCTGAAAACGCAAGCGGACTGAAGAACCAAAGCTTAGCTTTGATCTCGACTTACTCAGCCCAACATCAAAAGTACAAATCGAGTACATTTGTTTTCAAACTGTCTGAAAACCTTTACAAACTTTCTTTTCCACAAGTTCTTCCCTGCCATTCTTTTCTTCCTCCTCCACGGACTTTCTCTTCTCCCCTTTCCCATGGCTCCCTGCCAATGAGATCTGCTCAGTAGCACTGGAAGCTGAAAGAAAGCAAAAAAATGCAGGTGACTGAAGTCTTCTAGCTCTGTTTTACTTGCATAAATTCAGCAGGAAGTCCTTTTTTACCAAAGCATTCTGAGGAGCACAGGCTTGCACAGTCACACAGTACTAACTGACCAGAGTTATTACTGAACAAAACATAGTCACTGACCACAAACACGCACGCACAACTTCACTCGGCATATACAGCCCGCTGCACACCCTGCTGTCTGAGCCAGCAGTCGCCGATTTGATCACTTTATGTTACATGACCCTACCTCAGTTGTGTTTGGCTGGCAGGCTGTTGATTCTCCCCACCAACCCACAGTTCGTTTCTTAGTTACCAGCCTTTTTTACAGTTAACTGCTCAGGAAGTTAATGTTTCAGGTTGGAACACTACCAGTTGTTATTATTGTTACTATTATTTTTGTCTACAAATTGTGCCCCAAATGATACAAAGAAGTATATTTTATTACCCTGAATGTGCACATTTGCTAGAGGTTTCAGAAGACAGAGTACAAATTAAAGCTAGCAAGCAAAATGATTCCCATGACGTCAGAACCCGAGCATTTTCCTTCTGGAGATTTATTCTCATATGGTACAGCGAATCTCACCCCCTCCCAGGTACTAGTAAACACCAGGGTGCATGCAGAGAGCCTTGCCTGCACAGCGGTCTGGTTTTGAAGACATTTACAGCTAAGAACAAGAAGGCAGTCTGTGCCCACAGCCGAAAAGCAACAGATGCCAAGGCAGTGGCAGCACCGGACCAGCGCTACCCTCACTCTTAGTGAGCACACTAAGCAAAGCGGGCTTTTCACTCCCAAAGCAGGGAGCTTTCAGGCCCAGTGGGCTTCCCCAAAAGACATCTGACAAATGTACTTATGGGAACAGACTGAAGTTTACTTTTAAGGAGTTGGAATCCCCATTTAAACAACTGGGGCACAAACAGATCACCACCACCTGTGTCAGGTGACCCAGACACCAGCCGAACTTGCCGTGCATCCGACAGAACACACTACATCAACAGGGCTTCTCGAGAAGGGCAGGGCAGCCTAGGCTTGGTGAGCTGACACAGCTTCTTACCTGTGTCACCCCTGATGGTTGGTGGAAGATCATCAAAGAGTAAAGAGCCTCCTTTTCCTGGAGAACAAGAAAGAGACAAGTAAATACCTTTGTCTCTTTGTGGGAATAATGCTCTGTGTACAGCTTTCCTGAGGTGTGGGAATTATAAAATGCCAATTTACCAAAGCAAGACGTATTTCAACTTCTGTTACTAGATGGTGGGGGCAAACTGAGGCCCCTTACATTTGTTTCAGGTAATATTTATGTGAGACATATCATGGAATACACGTGGAACATATGTAACATTTTGGTTATCAAAAAAAAAAAAGACACAAGAAGAAGAAAGCAGATGCTCTGCACAGTAGTGCTAAAAACCCAACTGTCTTTATCCTGTCTAACAAAGAAAAGGGTTTACACAAGTTTAATCTAAGAGCTGCTGATGCAGAAACCACGGGAAGCCAAACTAAAGGCAGGAAGGGAGCACCCATACCTGAGTCAGCACTACTGGCTGGTGGGAGATCATCAAAGAGCAGAGGTCCTCTCTGGGCTTCCTTCCCTGTAAGACACCAAGGGAGAGTAAGCATCTGCTGGAGTCACTGAGGGGATCTGGAATGATTGCCCTCAGTTTAGCACAAGTGGGGTAAGAGAGGACAACCTTGGTGACCTTTCTTCCATCTCTAATTTAGGTACCTCCTACATAACCAAACAAACCACGTGCCTGGTGATGATGTGAACATCTGGAAAACAGCTTCCCCCCACTACCCAGGAATCCACTCAACTTGTGTTAACACCTCTCAGCAGCCCGATCAAGATGTTATAGGATGTGAGGGGCCCAGAAAGCACCAAATTGTTTCAGGTAACACCATTACAGCTCTCCATAGACCCATAATGTGGAGCAGCACAGAGAAGGGGAAAAGCTCCAGCACAGCCTAACCCACCTAGATAACACTCTGCACACGAACGAGTCTCAGAGAAAAAGAAAACTGCCTCCAAAACCTCAAACCCTGTAATTTCTCCAACGGTTTTTAAGCCACCTCCTACTGCAGCCGCCCCCTCGTACCCCCGACCACCTCGGGGCGCTCCCGATAGCACCACCTTCCCCCCCCCCCGCCCCGGAGAGGCTCGCTGTCCACGGTCGGATTAAAGCAGCAGGCCCGGCGGGGCCCAGCGGCGCTCGCCCCCGGCCCCGCGGCCTGTCAGGGCCTGTTGAGGTGAGGCCCCGTCCCAGGGCCGCGCGGAGGCAGGGCAGGCGGGCGGTCGGGCACCCGCTCAGGGGTTGCGGCCCCCTCACCCGCCGCCGAGGAGCCGGGCTCCGGAAGGTCCCCGAACAGATCCATCCCGCCGGCAGCGCCGCCGCTGAGGCAGCTCCCACCTGCCCAGGCACCGCTCCGCTCCGCTCCGCTCCGCTCCGCCCCGCCCCGCCCCGCCCTGCGCTGCCAATCCGCCCGCCGGGCCAATCGGCGGCCGCGAAGGGG